TGTTTTTTCTCTCTTAGAAACAATGCTGATAGAGAGCACTCTATCGGAGGTTAGAATGAGATTAGTAGGGAGAGAATACACACCACACGCCCAGGGAAGAGGGGTCCTCTCTCTTGTCTTTCTATGCAGTCTTCCTATCAAAGAGCTTATCTAATTAGAGGGAATTTAATTCCCTTAATTTTTTTTTTTCAATTAACAACCCCCATCATTATCAAATTAATGAATCATTTCAAATTCAAAATTTGAATTTTCAAATCCCCTAATCAAGGAATTGTTTAAGTCCTAACACCCATGAGTTCTTATTCGGGTGTTTTACCCTAATTGGTATTTTCTAACAACCTCTTTAGTCAAGGTAGACTGTCATAGATTTGATGCGTGTCTCCGATAGCAAAAGGTCCAGAAGTAATAACTTCTGAAGTGATCCATAATTGGAGATTTAAAAACCCAAACTTGTAGGTCGAAATATGTTTGCACTTTACAGAGCTCCGAGATCAAAACCAAAGCCCTAATTAAAAATAGTAATATTCCAATGCGGTGATGAATTTCGTGAAGAACTAAAATATTGAATTCTTCCAAGTCATGGTGAAAGGATTCCGACTGAGAAATTTTGTGGGCAACAGAAGATTGGATTTGTTACTATGATATTGATGATGATTTCCGTAGATGCTCCACAGAACAGATGAATTTTCCAAATAGATTGAACATGCAGAGGTTCTTTGGAGATCTCCGCCAAGACTCCGACGAAGCAAAATGTCTTTGGCAACCAAATGACCGAACCTGTATCTAGGGTTTTGAAGAGCTCGTGAGTTTATAGGGAGAGAGTATAAAAGGGTAGTGTTTTTTATCGTATGAAGATCAGCATGTAAATTGCAAACTGCGAAGAGAAAATGGCGGGTGATATCTCATGATGTTGTTCCTTGGTGTAGTCAGGTGGAGGTTCTAACTCACCCGTCGGTGGGTTGTTTCCTAACACAATGTGGATGGAACTCGACATTGGAGAGTTTGGTCGCCGGAGTTCTTGTGGTGGCAATTCTGCAAACGGTGAAGCAAACAACGAATTTGAAGCTAATTCAAGATGTTTGGAGGACTGGAGTCAGAGTGAAGGTGAAAAAAGAAAGGGAGAAGATGGGGGCGCAACAGAGAGCTAAAATTAAGAGGTGCCTAGAATTGGTGATGGGAGACGAGACCAAAGAAGAAATGAAAAGTGATGAGGCGGATTTGGCCCTCCAATATTATTGTGACACATGGCACATCGGAACAATTAGGTCACCAAGTCGCGCCTGGCGACTGGCACATGAGCCGATATGGCAACTTGCAAGACGTGCTCGCTGACAAATTCGACATGTATATCCTAACACTCCCATGATCCTTGGAAATTGACCCACGTGCTGAATGATTTGGAGGGTGGTCAACGTGCATGGCGGTTACCTCCAGGAATCTCGGACCAGTTAGACACGACCTCCAGGAGATCTCGGGGGCGGTACATGAATAAAGCCTATATAAAGGCACCAACCCCAGAGGCGAGTGGGCAAGTGAGCAGGCAAGCAAGTAAGAAAAAAGTGTAGCTCTCATACTTTGTGATTTTTAGCTCGTAGTCTATTATGAGAGTACTGACTTAAGCATCGAAGCGACCTCGCCGAGTTAACCACCCTGGGTCATCTAACATTTGGTTCCTTGCAGGTCTCTAAAGAGCAACAAAGCTCATCAATCCAGCTTGTCACCAGGCAGTTCGGCACCTGGTCAGCTCGACACCTCCTAGGCAGTTCGGCCCCCTGGTCAACCCGACACCTCTTAGGCAGTCCGGCCCCCTGGTAAGCCCAACACCTACCAGGCAGTTCGGTCCCCTGGCAGCTCGACACCTCATAGGCAGCTCGGCACTATAGTCAGCTCGCCACCTAGCCTGCCCAGCTCGACTCAACTCGGCAGCCAAAGTTCTCCACTTCGGCCTGAGTCATTGGCCACTTGGAAGCAGACCATATGACGAGGTACTTAGCCAAAAAACTGATACTTAACCAAAAGTTGATCTATCAATTGGCGTCATCTGTGGAAAATGTTACAAAAAGCCAAGTTCTCATCCTTCAAAAGGCTAAGTCCTCTTATTCCAGAAAGCTAAGTTCTACTAAAAGTTCTCACTTTCTAGTTTCAATTTTTTATGAACTCAAAGACTATGTAGAAAGTTGATGGCCAACAAACTAAGCAGCTCTATCAATTTTATTTCAACTCGGATAAAGCCTCATCAGTCCTCTTCGCGAGGTACCTTCCACAAAGATGAGCTCTTCATGGCTTCCGCGGGAGTAGGCGATCAACAGACTGCATGGACGCCCTTGCCGATCGAGCCTTCTAAGGCTCTCGTGCAAGCTGGTGACCTAAAGTCAGTAGTGCAGCCCCCGTAGGTCGAGCTCCTAGTAGCTTCTTGTAGGAGTGGGTAACCGACGTCACTAACGAGGCTGATGCAGCGCAGCCGTAGCTCTAAGGAGCCAACCTGGCGCGGCTTGGCCCAGGCGCGACCTGGCGACCTGGCCCAAGCGCGAATTGGCGAACTGATAAAAGACAACACTACGATAAGTCCCAGTCGCCTCCTCGGCATGGGCATACAACTCCCAATCGCCTCTTCGGCATGGGCAAAATCAAAGATCAGGGAGAGTGGACTACGAGTCGCTCACAGAGCCTAAGGAATTGAATCGACGCTTACAAGCTCATCGAATTATTCATTCTGGGCCAAAAGGAGAAATTTACTCCCTTCACCGAGTTATTCTCAGCTCGGGAGTGGGGGGCAAATGATGAGGGCGGATTTGGCCCTCCAATGATATTGTGACACATGGCACCTCGAAACAACTAGGTGACACTCGGAACCACTTTGGCAACAACTTGCCTTAGCCAAGTTGATGGGCCCGACTTGGCGGTTTGGCACAGGCACCGACCTGGCGGCCTGGCCCAGGCGCGACCTGGAAGCCTAGCACATGAGCCGACCTGGCGACTTGCAATATGTGCTCGCAATCAATTCGGCATGCATATCCTAACACTCCCACGATCCTTGGAAGTTGACCCACGTGTCGAACGATCTGGAGGGTGGTCAACGTGCATTGCGGTTACCTCCAGGAATCTCGGACCAGTTAGACACAACCTCCCAGAGATCTTGGGGGCGGTACATGAGCCAGGCCTATATAAAGGCACCAACCCAAGAGGCGAGTGGGCAAGTGAGCATGCAAGCAAGTAAGAAAAGTCTAGCTCTCATACTTTGTGATTTTTAGCTCACAGTCTACTATAAGAGTACTGACTTAAGCATCAAAGCGACCTAACCGAGTTAGCCACCCCGAGTCCTCTAACATTTGATTCCTTGCAGGTCTCTAAAAAGCAACGAAGCTCATCAATCCAGCTTGTCACCAGGCAATTCGGCACCTGGTCAGCCCGACACCTCCTAGGCAATTTGGCCCCCTGGTCAGCCCGACGCCTCAAGGCAGTTCGGCACCTGGTTAGCCCAACACCTCACAGGCAGCTCGGCACCTGGTCAGCCTGACACCTTCTAGGCAGTTCGGCCCCCTGGTCAGTCCAACACCTACCAGGCAGTTCGGCCCCCTGGCAGCTCGGCACCTAGTCAGCTCGGCACCTCATAGGCAGCTCAACACTATAGTTAGCTCGCCACCTAGCCTGCCCAGCTCGACCCAACTCTGCAACCAAAATTCTCCACTTCGGCCTGAATCATCGGCCACTTGGAAGCAGACCATATGACAAGGTACTTAGCCAAAAAAATGATACTTAACCAAAAGTTGATCCATCAAAAAGGAAAGAGAGGAAATGGAAATAATTTGCAATAGAAGCAATGAAGGACGATGGTTTTTCATACACGAATTTTTGAACATTTTTTAAGGAGGTAGCGGAGACCAATAATCTTGAGAATGGTTCTTGGTCGACTGTGCAGATGGACAAGGTGAGAATGATCCATCATCGCTCTAGATCTTGGATTCGTCGTTGATGCTCTACATTAAGGAGTCTGTTAATGCAGTTTTAACTGCTTCAGTTGTTGCTCAGAGCAGAATTATCCAATAGACCCACATCGCAATTTTTTACCCATAGAACATAGTAGTCAGAGACTGACTTGGACATTTTGCATAAAATTCAAATGATCATTGGAGTCAATAACACTGTGGTAGGGATGCTAGAGTACGGAATTGTAGCAGCAATTGGTTGAGTCTTAAGGTATAAGACAATGAATAATGTTTTTTGAAAGGATAATTTTGACATTTTTAAAATTTTTAGTGGCACATATCATCTTCTGAAAGGATAACTAACGCATAGATTGTTAATGGCAATGACCTATTAAACAGTTTTTGAAAATTGAAGTAATGCATAGACTCGTTTTGAAGTTCAGAGGCTGACTTGAGACAATCCTAAGGTGCGCTATCTGACGAGCAGATCTGAACTCTCTTTGTAGGTGTTTGGCATCGGTGTTGGAAACATCGCACATAGGCATTTTATGAGAAAACAACACCGGTTTTGTTTGGTACCAGTATTGTCCACAATGTTTTCAACATTGATATATATTATCCAACGTCCAATTATGTGCTTGGAACTGTGGACGTTTATTCACAAAAAGTTTGTCCTTGATTTATTTGCAAAATCGAGAAAAGCAATAATAAATCCATTTATCGATACTTAGGCATCACTCGACACCATTAAGCACCACATCAGCACAACAATGAATAAACGCCTACCGGTTGGGGGAAAATGAAGCTTCCCCCAACGGTAGGTACACACATAAATCAAGGCTTGCTTTTTGCAAACCTATGACATAACGAGGAAAAAGCTGAAATGATGCCTATGTGGCATTGTTTTATTCAATAAATGCCCACATTTCAAAATACCATCCAAGATGATACCATATTATTTACACCAATTTTTCAAAAACCATTGAATTTGATATTGCTCTAAACCACACTTTCCTTATTTTCAAGGTGTGGTATAGAACAAATTTGAAACACCACTTTCTCTATTTTAGCTCTACTTGGCGCCGTTTTTTCAGAAAACGGCATCAATGCCAAACATCGCCGAAGGCAACTAGACTTCAATGGTCATTAAGGTCTGTCCAAACAAAGAAGGCATCGTTGAAGTGATAGAATTTAAGGTGGTTGGTGAAAGGGGCTAGATCAATACATCAGGGTTATGATTCACGGTTTTAACCGAGCGCTACACCACCGATTTTTGAGCCCGTTGACAACCGAGACTCTCGAACGAGGTTTTGTTGGGAGTAGTCGGGTTCGGGTAGGTCTTCTTAGCCCAACCGGAGGGTATCCTTCCTTCCATTTCCCGCGCGCAGAGCAGGAGTGTTGTTGTTTACTGCCTCCTCCAAGTCCAAGGAAGCTAGGACCACCACAATCAGAAATGGTGTTTGCGAGGGTTTCTTCAGGACGCTACAGCTCTCTGTGTTTCAGCTTTCCCTTTGTCGAATCTGTCCTCTCCGGAGCTCCTTTCTCTCTCTCGCTTCTTCCGTCTCCAAGAAGGCTTAATGTTACTACTGCCACAGCAGTCTCAGCATCAGCATCTATTCTTCACGTCGAGTCAGTAGGTCTGAAGAGCGAACGTTGGAAGCCATTATGTTTGTATTACACGCAGGGCAAGTGCACAAAGGTAGTCTATATTTTCCAAGAACCACTTCTTCCTGATTGTCTATTTTCTCCTTCTAGGATTACAGTTATATTGCTGTTGCACACTGGCTGTTTGATCAAAGTTCTCTTATTACAAAGGCATTGGCCAACCTTTATTGCATTCTAAGGTAACAGTTCTAGGTGTTTGGCTGTTAGTCCTTGGTTTTAACGCTACGTGTTAACTGTGACATGTAGGAGCATCCCTATTAACTTCATTGCAAGCACATGCTTACTTGAGGCAGTGCCAACTGTGATAGAATTCAGATACGTAATATTTATGGTCAGCACCATCAGACATTGTATAGGACTTGCGAAGTGCCTTGGAAGCTTGGAGTTCTGATTGAATGGAACCAGCATGTTATCCCCTTGTGATATTTCCCCCATAAGCGTGCATGCCCTTTTTGTTGTGGTGCAGTCTTGATCATGTTGTAGAGGATTAGGTGACCTTGGAACCATGATTTGGGGCTTATGCATGTGTTATTTCTTTCTTGTTAAGTGTGTTTTTAATTATAAAAACTATGACTGAGCTCCAAACAAATACTCAATTCCAGAATGCAATTGAACATGCTTACATGCTACCAAGGTCCAGTTGTTCATGAATAATTACCACAAATCACAGTTCCATGATACCTTCCTGGACTGACAGTTCCTTCAGAATGAATTTGGGGTGTTTCCCCTTCTATAATTGGGGATATTTTTCTTCTTATATAAGCTTCGTCCAATTTCAGTGGCTCGTCTTGTTAACTTTTCTAAACTCTTTTCCCTTTCTGAGAAACATGAATTTCCATCTAGCTGATCATTAACTTGTGGCCATGTATTGGATGAATTGAGATGCATTATTATGATATTAGGTTTTTGCTCGTCATCGATGCATATTTCATAGTCATGAATCCTCTGATGATATTTCTATCTTAATAGAAAACATTTACCACGCTGATATGCCTTAGTTGTCAAATAAACATGTCAATATGCATTTAGTTTTGAGTTTTTTTTTTTTTTTGGTTTTTTTCAGATGGATGATCCAATGCATCTTGAAAAGTTCAATCATAATTGTTCCACAGAGCTCCAAGTGAATGCTGCCCAACTCAAACATTTGCGCTCTCAGCATCTAGATTACTTTTTGGTGCTTGATTTGGAGGGAAAGATTGAGATTCTTGAGTTTCCTGTGGTAATGGTTGATGCAAAAACCATGGATGTTGTAGATTTTTTCCACAGGTTTCAACCTCACTTGCACATGTCACTAGTACTTTATTCATGGACTCTATTAAAAATTTTTCTGCCACTAAGTTCCCCTGATAAGTTCAGTTGAATTTTACTTTTAGTCTGTGATTTTCCTCATTTACATACTAAAACCCTGCAGAGATTTGTACTTAGTAAATTAATGACTGCAAATTTTGCATGGATATGGATTTAGGAGACTCGGTCTGATACATTTGAGGGAATTTGATTTCTTAGGTGGAAAAGACACGGGTTGTAAACTAAAAAGTTATATATTATTAATCAATGATATGTTTTATGGATTCCATCATGCATGTATTAGTGGAGACGTTTGTATATGAGAATTCTGAATTGTCAACCAGTCAAAGATGAAAAAGTAGTTGAAATTAAAACTGTTGCTCCCCTGTCCTCATGAATTACTTATCCACCTGGAACCTAGAGGAATGAACGCAACTCTTCTGGGTCTAATGAATTGTTTCTCTGCTTTATAGTAATACTCACAATAAAAGGTCAATTGCAATAAATGCAGCTTTCTCAAACTGAATTTATTGGTATTTTTCTTTTGTTCTTTGTTCTTCTGGGTGTCTCCCTTCCTCTCAATTTTACTTGGTAAATCTTTTATTCTTGCCAACAAAAAGAAAATTAAAAGATATGAGATGTCTTCAATGAGATAAAAATCAAAATTGGTGCTCTCAGATGCTCACAAATTGCAGTTTCTTTGTTGAAAAGTTAAGAAAAAGGATGGATTTTTAGTGAATGTTATACCAGGATTTCAATTTATTTTTCTATTAATGCGTTTCATTTTGAATTTTCATTAGCTTCTTACCAATATTTTGTGCTTACATTTACAAATAATAACATGGATTAATAACTGATATAAGGGTCATAGAAGATTAGATTTGGGGAAATTGTGAAGTTAAATGGATTTTGATCTCTGACTAGTAGAAGTAGGTGGATTTTAATAGCTAGGGAACTTGAACCCTTACTTTGTACAACCATGAAAGTGTTTGTGTGCCACAGTAAAAAAATCTTGGGTTTTCCTGCAGCTGTAGGTGAGGGCCAGGAGTGGCAGTCATAGGATTCACTAGTTAACTCCAAGCACATACACATACTTGAATAAGTTAGTAAAATCTGTCATGATACATCTAGTGTATATGCAAAGAAAGCATTTCTCACAGGAATCTATGTCTACAATAACTGTCCCTATTGGAAATATGGTGGGCTCCAAGTTGTCTTATTTTACCCCTCTCTACCCTCCCTCCCCCAAATCATATCTCAGATAATAAATATTTGTAATTTTATATTTATATTATATGCAGTAGGATTTATTTTGCTACTTTCTGCATCTATATAGTATATTAAAATTAATAATTGGCACTTTCTGAGAATAATCACCTTCAGATGCTTACATTTTTATTTTTTAATTATCTTCTTCAGATTTGTGCAGCCTTCCAAAATGAGTCAGCAAAGAATTAACGAGTATATTGAAGGAAAATATGGAAAACTAGGAGTTGATCGGTATGGAGGTGATTCTTATTTTGGTTATGGCAGAATTAAAATGTCACCTTTCTTGCTCAATATTTGTAGTGTTGCTTGACAATTTGAACATTAATGTACTAACTTTTTTGCTTATTGACATTTGGTTACATGATTATTGGGTAGTTTCTAAGCATGCCTTTATCAAGCCCTTCTAGTTAATAGCCTTTTTAACCTTACCCTTTATTTTGTAAGTTGTGCAATTTGATACCAAGAGAACTGCACTAAAGCTTGTAAATGTTTTATTGACAATTTCTAATTCTTTAACAATCAATAGTATCATCACAAAACCACCATTTGTACCTAAAAGGAGTATCCAGTGATTTAAAAGGCGCACCTAGGTGCACAGGCGAGGTGCATTTTAGGGTATGTGCCTTGCTAGGTCCTAGGCGCACCCCTTTCAAAAGGCGCACACACCTGGTGCACTTTGCACCTCAGCTTAGGTGTGCACCTTTTGAAAATTTGACGCTTTTTTGCTTTTTTTGAACTTGGCGGTTGGGCCGGGGGCTCCACCCCTGGACCCCCATACCACGCCCCCAGAGCCCCGAGAACCCCCTATTTTGCTAATGTTGTTCATTCATTCATCCTAATAAAATGTTTTATTAAAAAGCAATTACAATTATAAAATCACTATTTTTTTGTGTGAGAAACTAAGAATTTAAGACCCTAACATGGACTTGTTTGGCTTGCCTCGAGGGGCATGGCACAAAGGTGGCTCGTAGAATTAGGAATGTAATATGTTTTACATCACAATAGCTACTTGAAGTAATGCACTTGAGGCAAAAAAGAGATTGTGGGTTTTACATGCTTGAAATTGTTTTATATGTTTGATTTTATTTTTAAATTTTCATTTGAGTACCCTTTACATGTTATGTTTATGTATTTTGATTTTAGATAATAGGTTTCTAAAACATTTATTTTTAAATCTAAGTTTATATTTTTTATCAATATTATGTTTACCACTTTTTTTTGATTTTTTTTTGCATTCTTTTTTGAAAATTCTGACTTTTTTTTTGTGCCTTGCTTCAAAAAGGTGCATGCCTCGCCTTGCACCTTGCGCCTTGGCCCCTGCACCTTTTTTGCGCCTTGCACTTTTAAAACATTGGGAGTATCTTAATAGTGTGTCACATGGATTCCCATGCCTTAGCACCTGTCTATTTTTTCATTTCTCTGCAAGCATTCCTTAATATCAACCCGTTCTAGTTAATAGCTTTGTTTTCTTGGATCTTATCCTTCATTTGGCAGCATAAATTAATAATAATTGTAAATAAATGAACAATGGACCGAAATTGGGCATACACGAATGAGTGAAAACTTCCCAAATCCCAAAAATAACTCTAAAAAATGAATAACATCCAGTCACTAAAACCCATTTCATTAATGTTCATAAAGAAAGTAGTGTCTTCCTTCTGTCCTAAGTATTTGCATTTTCTAAGCAGTCAGCAATTACCTTTCTTAAAAGGCTGTGGCAGCTAAAGATAAGTCACAAAGATGGGGACCTAAAAAATGTTGGAACTAGGGCTGTCAATGGGTTGGGTTCAACCCGATGGACCCAAACTGATTGGGTCGGTTCTGGTTCCAGTTCCTGGAACCAATGGGTCGGTTCCGGTTCCTGATATATTGTCCTGATTATTATTGGTCCGGAACCAGTTTTACCCAGTCCCGAACTGACTCAGACCCAACCCAGGCTATATATATAAATAATATTTATAATATGTTATATATTTAATATATATATATATAATATTAAATAAATTAATACAATATATAATATTTTCAGCAGGTTTATTATAATTGGGTTCATCGGATCAGACCCAATTGTCCTGAGAACTGATCAGTTTCTGGGTCTAAAACTACAGATCCTATCAGGTCTGGTTCGGTTCTGGGTCCTTGGTATTTCTTGTTGGGTCAGTTCTGGTTCTACTTGGACCCGACCTAGACCTGACCCACTGACAGCCCTAGTTGAAACTGAGTTGATTATAAAAGAAAAATGGAAATTGAGTTAGAGAGATCATTTGATGAAGAGGAGGTCAAAATTGCCATTTTTTTTGCAGTGGATAAGAATAAAATCTGGTTTGGACAGTTCTACTATGTCTTTTTACCAGGAATGTTTAGACATCATTAATACTTAATAGTAGGAAAGGCCCTCAACGCCCTAAAGATTTTTGGCTATTAGCCCAGTGGAAAGCCTCTTGAAAGTGATTTCAGTGGTGCTTTTTTTTGAGACTAGGAAAGGCCTTCAAAGCCCTCATATCTCCTCTTCAAGGTACATTTGTCTAAGGGAGATAAATAGTTGATCATATCCTAATTCTAATGAAACCATACAAGATCTAAGAAGATTGGGAAAAAAGGGTTTAGTGTGCAAGTTGGATTTGGAGAAGGCTTATGATTTTGTGGATTTATCCTTCTAGGAGTTTGTACTGGGGGCTATTTTTGGGTGTAATGGTAAACTCTTAGGCTGACAAGCGTGAGATTGTAGGTTTGAGTCTGAAAGAAAGCCACTTTGTGAAACAAAATGGAGAACCTAGATGAAGGGTTGTATAACTTCTTGTCCCCCCTATTATTTGTCCTTGTAGCCAATGCCCTCAAGTCACTTACCTCTAGAGCTTACATTGTTGGTTTAATTAAGGGGTTCAGATTCAGAGTGGGTGCTGATTTGCTGATGAATGGTAATCATTGTTGTGTGGATTCTTCTAAATGGATGAAGTGTCCATGTCAGACATACATCAAACTCCAAAACTCCATGGATTCTTGAGGGGGACTTTGGTGTAACATGTTTCTTTCTCTCGGTGCCTATTTGACATAAATTAATACTTAATGTACACATTGACTGTTACTTTTTCTACAAAATGTTACTAAATAACTATTAATAAAAAGATGTCTCTAAGTAACAAATATAATATGTAAAAATTTTTTCTATATAGTTATAATGTAGTATTTTAATAGTTTATACTTGTTTCTAGATGTGTCCAGGAGTCCTCATGTTTTTCAACAGACTCCTGAAAACGTGTCAGATTCTAACTTCTCTGTCTGTGTCCATGCAACATTGATGATAATATCATCTTTTTTCCCTTTTTCCCCTTCTTTTGAAGATCAAGGTAGGGTGGTGGTTAGGAACCTTACTCTTAAGTGTTTTTAAAGGTTATACATTCTGGAAATTAACTGGAGTAAAAGCACTTGTATACATGTTACCACGATACAACTAGATACTTTATGGCCGATACCTTGGTGATACATGCTCAATACAAGTAAATCTGATGGTCAAAGTTGACTCAAAACTGTCACCCTCATCCTGTTCCCAGCTTTGTAAACATGGAATAGGGATTCTGATGCAGCTGCAAAAGAGTGACTGTTGAAGGCTAGTTAAACTAAGGGAGGTTAATGATCTGTTTTGGTATGAAGGGGTCCAGGGGAGAGATTAGAGAAGTAGACCTGTCATGCAGATGATTGTAATATACCAATGTTTAATAGAGAGGAAAGTCCTACAAATCTACTGTCACAAGGTAATTTTTGTTTTTCTGAAAACTGCTGTCAAGGGTCTAACACATGCCATAGTTCTTTTTTGCATCTCAAGTGGGTTTGGAAGAAAACATTTAAAAACAATTTTGAGAAAACGTAGGAGGATTAATCCAAGAAATTCCAAATGAAGAGAAGATTTTTATCGGAGACTTAGTGGGTATGTAGGGAAAAGAAGTGTAGGATATGATATGGTGCATAGGGGATTTGGGTTTGGGGAGAGGAATGAATCAAGAGGTACAATATTAGATTTTGCAGTAGTTTATGATATGTCAATTTTAAACACCTCTTTCCAAACAAAAGGTTTTAAAATAAGTAGTTTAAAACAGAGTATATGACATATAAGTTTAGTAATAAATTAATAATATGTGTTTAAATAAGGATATACATAGGATTGGAGACCAAGAGATAACTCAATGTGACCGCATGCAAATTTTGTAATAAATTAATAATAGGAGTGTAAATGAGGATACACTTAGGATTGGAGACCAAAAGATAACAAAATGTGACCAGTACCTTGGTTCAATGATTCATATCAAGAGAGAGATTGAGGAGGATGTCACCCAAAGAATTAGACGAGGATGGGCAAAGTGGAGGGGTGCATTTGGACTTTTATGTGATAGGTGGATACCACTTAGATTAAAAGGAAAATTCTATATAACAGTTTCAAGGGCAATTATATTGTATGGAACAGAGTGTTGGGCAGTCAAGAACAACATGTCGAGAAAATGAGTGGCAGAAACAAAAATGCTAAGATGGATGAGGGGAAAAATTAGAAAGGATAGGATTAGGAATGAAGTCATCCGTAAGAACCTAGGAGTAGCTATCAAAAGAGAAAAAGAACCTAAGAGTAGCTCCAATAAGTGATAAAATGAGAGAGAGAGTAGACTAAGATGGTTTGATCATGTGCATAGAAGACCACCAATAGCTCCAGTTAGATGTTGCTTCACCAAAAAGGACATGGGCCCCATATAGTTGGGATAAGGAATGGATGATGATGATACTATAGATCACTCTTTTTAAAGACAAGGACAATACCTAATTGATCACTTTTATCGAATAATAAGAAAACAACTAATGAAAAGGAAAAAAAATATAGATTGAAATTGTTTTCAGCAAGGAGAAGAAGAAACGAAAGATATGAGAGCCAAAAAAGAATCAGCATTGGTGGCGCCAGTTTTTTATTTTAAATAGTAGGGCGACCATATACATAACAAAAAGAAAGGGAAAAGACCAGAATGCCCCTTTGCGGCATATAGTACAGATTACATCACTCCCCCTCAAGTTGGAGCGTAGATGTCAATCATCCCCAACTTGTCACAAAGATCATAATGCCGTAGTGAGCATTATCCTTTAGTAAGAACATCTGCAAGCTATTCATTAGAGCTAATGTAGGGAGTGCACACTTGCCCCTTAACAATTTTCTCTTTGATGAAATGCTTGTCAACCTCAATATGTTTGGTTCT